TTCTTACTTAGCAAAGCAGGGAATAGCACAGTCCTTTGACGTTTAGGCGATATTTTGGTCTAATCGGAAAGCATATGAAATCGATTAGACCTATTCGGCTTATCGGGAGGGTCGGAAAACTTACTTAAAGATTGGAGAATAACACTTTATAAATAAGTTTTTGTTTTTTCTGATAGCCAGTAAATAAATATGTATGTACTTGGAAAGCACGTTTCTTACGCAATAACAAAGAGAATCACAAAGTATCCCTTCACTACGAATGAGAGCTCACAATGGAATACAACTGCACACCACGGGAGATAGTCGATTACTGTGGCAGTTTAAAAAATTGCCTTTTTTCGAATTTCAGGCAGCAGCCACGCCCACAAAGGCATACGAATCAAAACATCCTGGAACAAAACCTTCTTAGTTTTTTTTTGTACTTTAATTCCTGAAAGTTTGAAAAAAATTAAATGATGTTACGTACAGACACCACATACATACCAAAGCATCTCGTAGTTGAGACACGAACCAAAACACATTTACCTCTATATATTTCCAACTAGTAGCCGGAACTTAATGTATAAGGTATCGTTTGAAAGCTATTGGCCTATAGAATAACACTAAATAAGTTTAGCCTAATTTTTAAGAATCCGGTTAATCGTTTATGAAGCTTGAATACATTTTCTGAACACACTCTGCAAGACCTTTCCAACGATATCTCAAACATGTCGATTGGACGTCTGGATAAAAACTTCTAAATCACGTGTATATATAAGCGAGTCATTTCAGCATGCTGCTGTGGCTGCTTTCGTCACTCGCGCGCACTACCGGGCGCTGTGATGAAGGCGCTAGAATCAAATGGATCTAAGTAGATCGGAAATTTTTTGGAGATAATTAAGGTCGGCCGCTGTGGTGTAGTAGTAAGCAGTGCGCGCTTCCACTCCGCAGCACCTGGGTTTAAGCCCCGGTCAAAGAAACATCGCAAAAAATATAGACAAAAACGTTTTTTCTTAACAGCGGTTGTCCCTCGGCAGGCAATGGCAAACCTCTGCGTGTATTTCTGCCATGAAAAACAGCTTCTCATAAAAGTAGAATCGACGTTCGGAGTCGGCGTAAAACTGTAGGTCCCTCCGCTTTGTGTGACAACATCAAGGCGCACACCACCAGTCGGAGGAGAAGCTCGGCCAAACACTAACATACATATGTGTAAGCGCCAATCTGTTATTATTATTATTAAGGTTAAAGTTAATTACTTATTGTAAATTTTGGGTAAATGCGTTTGAAATGATTCATGCCTAAATGAATGCAGGTTAATTAAATAATTCAAAGAATGTTTACTCTTTGTCACCAAACAAATACTATAGTTTGCTATACAAATATGGGTATAAATTAATAAAAAAATTTCAAAAAATGTCACTTAGACCCTTATGATTCTAACCCCTTCATATATAGATAAGCAGGATAATAAAAAAAATAAATATATTATTTGTCAACCACATTGAGTTCAAGGTTATTCCACATTTTAATTGAATCATATTATGAAGTATAAATAGATTACTAAAATATATATTTAAATATGTTCTTTATCAACAGTTTGCCATTAATATATGTATTAGGCATGCAATGATGAAGGCAAGGCTATTCCTATGGTTAACGAAAAAATAATAATTTTAGTGAATTTTTTATAAAATATAATGTAAACTGTTCTGATTCATAAATAAATATATTAATACTAAATAAACATAAAACAATATGTATTGGTGTCAAACCGTGAAACCTAATAATAAATATTGTACTTGCCATGCTCAATGGAAAAGTTTTAATATTATTAACGGTATAGCAATAGATAAAACCTTAGAGGTATTTTGACTGCTGAAGGAGGGTTTAGATGAAAAAATAATCAACTTGTTAAAATAGAAACTGTTGGCCGTATGATTATAATAGTTGGTACAGTTTATGAAGGTGATCAAAAAGATGTAAACTTAAATAGTTTTACACCGACATGCGTTTTTAGTGAAATTGATGTGTTAGCTAGGCGGTATGCTGAAGAAGACACAATTCCATCAAAGGAAAAGGATGTTCAAACTTTAGTGAAAGATAATACTATCGATGACAACACTAACGATAAAAACAATAATTTTGATGATAAAAATACAAAAGTATAAACATAGATATAATATATATGAAGTATATACATAAATTAATAGATTATAATTTTCTATTTCATTTATATCTTAACCGCGAGCTAATGAACGAATCTTGATTTTCATCATAGAAACTTAAAATTATATATAATTTTATTATATTATTAATAGGGATGTTGCGATACTATAAAAGTATCGATACCAGTATCAAATAATGTATAAGACGTTAAGTATCGATTCAAAATTTCGATATTTTATCCTTTTTATATAAAAAAATATATTTGTTAATGAAAATTAATTAATAAGAAATCTTTAACAACGCAAGTGCGTAATAGATAACATATACAAAATGGCTCGCTTTCATCAGAAAGTCAGTAAATCTTTCTTTAAATTTGTTCTTTGCACGAAAATTTCAGATTTTTCAAACACACGTTGCACTTAACCGAGCTTTTGTCAATCTTGGTAATGTGACTCCATACTCTACTTTTCGGAGTAAAACCAGGTAAACAGAAATAAAAACAAATCTATGTCGTTACGCTGTATATGTACTGTGTTTATACGGTTCGAATACATTACGATGCCATAAAAGTATACGATACTAGTATCAAATGGGTATAGGAAATAAAATATCGCACGAACGTTAACATAGAGTCACTAATCGGGAAATATACTTAAATAGAATTCTAGGAACAATATGGCTTGTATGAAGATGATAATAAATAATATTGATATTGATATTATTATGATACATTAAGCGGTATCGCAAGAAAATACCCATATGGGTATCAATAGTATCATCACCCTAGTATCGAATACCGATTTGCCCAGTAGCGAAACAAAAGTATCGATACCAAGTAGTATCGCCACATCCCTAATTATTAACATTTGTTTGTTTTATTTTTTATTCAAGTATTCTCATGTTTAATCCTATTGATTTAAGGCAAAATAAAAAAAAAATAAAAAAATAACACAAACGGCAATAACGTAAAATTTGCTTTATTTCACTTTTAAATGGGAAATAATACCAAAATCTGAGTTTTGCTTTATTTCCAACAAATGTTGGAAATAAAACAAATTTTGCCTTATTTCCCATTGCTTATTTATACTATTTGTAACAAAAACAGTTTACTGACAGAGGGAAAAAGAACTTTGTTTATTCCAAGAATATAATTAAACAAAAAATGTGATATAATTCATATGAAGAAAGTAATATTCACAAAATATTTTTACTTATGCACAAAGCTTATACCAATCACTTGCAGGCAAAAATGTTTGGTTGTTTATTTATTTATAATTTTTTATGTAAACCGCTCCTGGAGTGACTTGACAGCTGTTTGTTTGTAGTAGTTCACAAATACCCTGCAGTGAAACCCGAAACTAGTAAGGAAAAATACTAGTTTACAACTAGAATTTCCTGACTGAAACCGAACTAGTTCGAAAATGACTTGACTTGACTTTGACTTTGACAGTTTAATACAATAAAGTACACAAAATATTATAACTTTTATTTGGGTATATTGTAAACCATTAAAGCGAGTACGTATTCAATTATACCAGACCTGTTAAATAATGATTAATATTCATAATGATTATTAATTAAAGCATGTTTTTTGGATAACCGTTTAATATTAAATACCGATATTACCAGCTTTTTAATGATCAATAATTAATTACTTTAAAAAAATGTTAATTAATTATTAATTTAAATTACATCATTATTTTGTTATTTTTGATCATTTTCAATTATTACGATTAAAATTATTTGATTCTATTATTAATCATCAAGGCAAACTATAGACAAAAATTAAGAGTATTTAATAACTGCTTGAATTATTTATTTGTTGTATTTTTATCCAAATCTCAAATTTTAAACATTAACTATTACTTTTATAAAATTTTAAAAAGAATAGACTGAAATGTGCAAAGTTAATGAATTTAATTTATCTTAATTAAAACTTTTATTTTTATTTTAGTTCACTCATAAACGAACTAAAGTATTCATTTTGTTTTTAACTAAAATGTTTTCTTCTGCATATTCAATATTATTAAAAAAGATAAAAATATAGTATTTATTGTACCTGAAACCTTTTGCTTTTAATAACACTAAATGAAAAATGCATTTAAACTTTGTTCGAAAGTTTGAAATATTTATGTATTTATTTTTGCTTTTAATTAATACTCAAAAAATGTAACACTANTATTATTAAAAAAGATAAAAATATAGTATTTATTGTACCTGAAACCTTTTGCTTTTAATAACACTAAATGAAAAATGCATTTAAACTTTGTTCGAAAGTTTGAAATATTTATGTATTTATTTTTGCTTTTAATTAATACTCAAAAAATGTAACACTAGTTATTGGCAAATCTAAAGCTGCTAAATAAAAATGTGTAATATATTAAAGTGTACTTAAAGAAAAGTGTTTTATTGTATATTCATGAATTCATTTTATTTTCTGACTCCCAAAGTAGTGGTTTTGGCTCATAATTGGACTAGTATTTTTCTGTCTATTTTGAACTAATATGTTACTGGTATATTACTGACCGAAATCTGACAATTGCCATCTCGTAGGACATCCCCATGTTAAAAATACCAATTGATTGCATGGAAAAAAATTGTTGGCTGACTAGTTGGCCATGCGGTTCATACTAGTTGTGAGGTAGTTGACAACTAGTATATTTGAATACAGGGTATACATTTGTACCAACACAAGCAAACGTTTATTTTATAGGCTGTCTCCCTTTGATTGCGGAATAAAATCACTTTGTGAAGATACGTTACTACATATCAATATAGAGGTATGGCATATATGATATCAACAGACCTCTCCATTCATATATACATACATAATAAATACTTATCAATTAACTATGTGAGCTATATTTCTAACCCATATTTCTGACTATGGAGCATATATATATATATATATATATATACGTATATGTATATGGATGTCAGCACACTTTACGAATTTCTGACGTTCGAACATATATGTTACTATCAATATAGAAGTATTAAATACATATCGTCGCTGCGCCAACAAAAACAGTTATGTGATTTTCGTAATTTTTTTTTAATTGCATATTTTATTAACACTATCTATTGCCCACATTTCTGCATTTGCCGTTTGTTATATCTTTTTTGGTTTAGAACTGATCAAAAACAGCTATGTGCTCGCAGGTGCACGCTTACTTGCTTATAACTGTTTTTGATCTCAGATGAGTGTGCTTTGATTTCGATGTAAAAAATAATTATAAACGCAACTAAATACATATGTACATACATATGTATGCACATACCACTTACACTACATAGATTCTGCTATTTAATTTGATCGCTTGCAACTGAAATTCAACAATTAACAAAGGTAAAAAGTATTGAGGTAGACAGAAAATGTATTCAATCCACCGATGTATTCACCAATGGACTACATAAGTCGTATGCGACAGGCGAGGCCATCACATCCTTATATTGTTAATTATTTAGAGTATACATATGAAATTATTTCTTGTACATACGAGCTTTCATTGGATATAACCCATCGAAACTTTGAAAAAGTGCATTGGGTCAAGTTAATACGCTGACCGAAAAGAAAAACAGTTCGCATGTCTGGCAATTTAATGGTTTGTACAAAGTACATATGTGTCCACTCATCACTTCGCATTAATTTTTATTACAAAAATCCAATAAAAACGTTTCTGACCATTTTTCATTACATAACAGGAGCAACGGGCAGATGGAGTTCAGGTTTATTGTGGGTACCTGCCGTAGTATACGGTCTAAACTCCACAGAGCCCGTTAAGCTCATGGATTAATTCATGCCTTAATCACTGCCCTGAAATGCAAGCACTTCAGTACCAAAGGCAGTGTGGGACGGACACACTTACCACCTTGGTAAAGCCAAAACCTACCTAAATCTTTGCCGTTATTTGGGTCCCGGCACCCGGATGCAATGCAACTCTACATTGACCCTTGCGAGTTCTACCCGCATTTAGGTATTAAACCACAGTCCCCGCGATACTGCCCGAAGGGCCATACCTCACTGAGCAGACTGAAGTAGTGCTCGCCAGCCAGACTTGCTTGACCAGCTCGAGGCACGCAACCTACTAAACATACCAGAATACACATGCTTGACCGCACTACTAGTAAGATTTGCTTTCTTCTTTTACACTTTTCCGCGGTTCACCACAAAATTAACACCGTGTTATACAACATTTCCGACATTGTCAACGTTCCTTCACGTTATCCAACATCTTCCACATTTTCCAACAGTTTTCAACATTATCACCCAGCTCATTTCCTCATTCATTCTCTTCGTCTCGCTAATCTCACAGGTCCTACTAGCCATACTGGGAAGCACCTTCCAGCCCGGGTTGACAATAGGCATGGAAATTGCTTCTTTTCAGGTTTTCTACACCCGTTCGAATAGCTTGACGTGCCACATTCTTCCTTGCAAATCTTACCAGCTGTACGATCTTACATGTACATCTAGCCTGCTTTTGGCCTTGTTCGTCTCACTAGTTTTGCTTATCTAGCCAACGAACACACTCCAGGGGCATCTGCTCGCCCGCGGTGCCTTTTTAATTAAAAGTCCATATCCCCAAAAGCAAATTTAAATCGTGTATAAAAACAGCTATGTGCTTTAAAGCGGCGCAAATTTTGATCACGTCGTAATTGGTCAAAAAAAATTAAATTTGAAATTTCATTTTTGAAATTGAAATTTCTGAATATATATATTTTTTTTTAACGACACTGCAACATATTACCTATTGGAACCAGGAATCAGTTTTCTTGCTCTCCTGAAAAGTTATTAAAAAACACGTAACAGTTTTTGTTGGCGCAGCGACGATATATACAAACATAGTAAATACTTAGCAATTAACTATGTGAGCTATATTTATAACGCATATTTCTGACTATAGAGCATATATATATACATACATATATATATATATATATATATATATATTCTTATATACGTATATATGGCATGGTTGCCACTCGCCAACATTTTTTTCTACCAAATCTTCAATACCAAAATCTTCACTTCTTCACTGAGAAAAAAATATACTGAATAAAACTGTTATATTTCATAACAAATGTACATATATATACTTACAGCCTGATTCTGTGCACTTAATAAATTCAATATTTTTATAAATTGTCAATTTTCGATTATTTATCAAAAACTCCCGGTTCTAGCAAAGAAGTTTAAATCTATTTTCTTGATAAATTATCAAGATTGAAATTGCAATTGACAATTATAATAATTTTTTTTATTATAAAATATTTTTCTATCAATTAATTAGTGCATGTGCCGATATTCTCGTTTTCGTTGTTGGTGTTTCCGACAGGGTAATGATGTAATGTGGAACGGTTTTTTCTTCATATTTTGGCAAATTTGGTTTGGAGACAAACCGGTTTCGGCACTGTGCCATCTTCAGTGTCATTTTTCGTTCGGAATGTGCCGATATTTGAACCTGCGACTCACGGAATAATAGCACCGACATACAAAAAACGTGGCGGGTGCTTTTAACCGAAATTTCGANGGTGCCTTTTTAATTAAAAGTCCATATCCCCAAAAGCAAATTTAAATCGTGTATAAAAACAGCTATGTGCTTTAAAGCGGCGCAAATTTTGATCACGTCGTAATTGGTCAAAAAAAATTAAATTTGAAATTTCATTTTTGAAATTGAAATTTCTGAATATATATATTTTTTTTTAACGACACTGCAACATATTACCTATTGGAACCAGGAATCAGTTTTCTTGCTCTCCTGAAAAGTTATTAAAAAACACGTAACAGTTTTTGTTGGCGCAGCGACGATATATACAAACATAGTAAATACTTAGCAATTAACTATGTGAGCTATATTTATAACGCATATTTCTGACTATAGAGCATATATATATACATACATATATATATATATATATATATATATATTCTTATATACGTATATATGGCATGGTTGCCACTCGCCAACATTTTTTTCTACCAAATCTTCAATACCAAAATCTTCACTTCTTCACTGAGAAAAAAATATACTGAATAAAACTGTTATATTTCATAACAAATGTACATATATATACTTACAGCCTGATTCTGTGCACTTAATAAATTCAATATTTTTATAAATTGTCAATTTTCGATTATTTATCAAAAACTCCCGGTTCTAGCAAAGAAGTTTAAATCTATTTTCTTGATAAATTATCAAGATTGAAATTGCAATTGACAATTATAATAATTTTTTTTATTATAAAATATTTTTCTATCAATTAATTAGTGCATGTGCCGATATTCTCGTTTTCGTTGTTGGTGTTTCCGACAGGGTAATGATGTAATGTGGAACGGTTTTTTCTTCATATTTTGGCAAATTTGGTTTGGAGACAAACCGGTTTCGGCACTGTGCCATCTTCAGTGTCATTTTTCGTTCGGAATGGGCCGATATTTGAACCTGCGACTCACGGAATAATAGCACCGACATACAAAAAACGTGGCGGGGGCTTTTAACCGAAATTTCGAGCTTTTTTTCGGTTTTTCATAATTTACTGTACGTGTCAAACGGACCTCAGATTCGGATTCTGTGGGTCGAAATCAGTGTTGCCAGTTTGCGGGATTTCGCCCTTTTGTCGGGATTTTATGACTAAAAAGAGCGAATGGGATTTTCTGTCGAAAACGGGATTTTTTGCATACCATACCAAGCAGGAAAATTTATTATTATTATCAGCGGAACTTCATTCACTTTAAATTTGTAATAGCAAGTTTATGAGTTATACGGAAAGTAATTTGGGAAAAATAAAGTGATATAAGTTAGAAAAACATGTGGGGAACTCGAGAAGTTGTGTATTTTTAAAACATTAGAAAAATTCCCAACCATTTATTCTTTTTTCAAATGTTTTGAGTTTCTAGATTCTGAAAAGTATTTTGGGTGATTCTATTCTTTGATAATGCAAATAGTAAAACTTGCCCATGGCAAACGTTTGGGAGGTAGTCGTTAACAAAGGGGCAGTAAATAGTTCATTGGTTACTGACATCAAAACGAAAAAGAGTAATAGATTAAGCGAAAAAAGCATTAAATATGTGTAGTCAAATCTAATTTACTTAACAAAAAATTTAATTGTTCGACTTAGGGCCAGTTTTTCAGTGCACGGCTGTGGTTAAACATAGTTTAAACGCCCGAGCTGGCTGGTTTAAACTAAGATTAGCCAATGAGGTGTCAGCCAACTGATCAATTTAAATGCGAAAACGAATGAAAAAGCTATTTGTATAAATTATTTTTGTCCTTCGAAATTTAAAAATCGAGAAAATAAAATATGTAGGTATATTATAAGGGGGGTCAATGTGTATGGTAGATTTTTTCGACTATGCGCATATTGCATATACATACGTGTAATTCTAATCAACTTTACCGAAGAAACCATGGCTCTAAAATCAATTTGGAATTTTCCAAATTGCGAAAATAGGTTTCTTAATACTTTGATGTAGTGTCGTAAAGGATTGCTTAAATTTTGTACAAAACATGCTGTGTGAGGCATCGATTTGTGCACTTCTCTTTTTCTTACAACTTCCACCAAAGGGCACAACTGTAAAAATGTCCACATTTTCTTCTAAACCTATGTATTTTCGCAGTATGGCAAACTGCTAATTGATTTTTGACGCATGGTTTCCTCTCAAGGTTGCTTAGAATTACAAGTAGAATCCTCTTATGCTATGCGCGAAAAGCCGAAAGAATTTGCCCGCCCTAATGTATATAAATCCTATGTAATTTTGCATATCTATGTACATACTTGTGTTTTTCATCCGATAGCATTTTATGTGTATTATATACATACATACAGCGCAGGATTTCTGTAATAACTTTAGTATAAAACGGGATTTAGG